CTTTTATTCGCTTTTCTTGGTTATTAAAATCGGTTTCACAACTTCATTTATTGTGTCTTTTGTTAATGTAGTCTACATCAGGATTATCAAAATCCACCTATAAACTTTTAAAATTGAGTTACATGTAATTCATAGGTTGAAAGCAACTCCAGCACTTCTGACATAATCTCATATTGTTTTACTCTGATGACAGTTAATTTTTTTTTCGCTGTAAGTTTTTGCATATAAAAAGAATCTTATTTGTTACACATGAAATTCCATTAGTCGTCATATGTCAAGTGCAACATATGCGATATGGAATTTCTCATCAAATGAAGCGATTCAGATATAACGAACAAAAAATATTGTAAAGATGCATCAAGGACAACAAAATGATATGTAAATCAATAGCCAATCTTTTACAAAGTCATTATTAATATCAAAGGATGCCTTCATCGTTTTATCACAGTCGTTAAAAAATACCAGCAACAGTTGTTTATAATGCTAGAAATGGTTATTATCATTTTTCAGGAAATATTTTTTGGATGTACACGAATACACAATATAGTTGGTCTTTAATTTGCTATTCTGTTCCATTATTATTGGTATCGTTATACTGAATATGTTTTGTATGACAACAAATAAAAGAAACATCATAGTGATCTTCTAAGTACACAAAATTCTTCAAATTTAGCTGTAATAATGAATGTTATCGTTATTCTTTTCTTATTTTTGTTATTATTCTTGTAACTCTTCAATTTTTTGAGCATATTTCAAAATAAATTATTTTGAATTTTATTTGTGTTGCATTTTCTTCTCTTGTACATGTGAATAATGATTGTTTTTTGCATGATTCTATCTAAAACGAAAAGTTTAGCATTTTTTCTTTAACAAGGCGGTAAGATCTGTAAATGCATATGTTCAATTTCTATTCATTTTCATAATATCACGCATAGACATGTAAACAGAAAAACTGAAAAGGTCAGATTCATTTCTTTAGTTGCCGACGATTTGTCATTGAATTTCATTTGATAAAAACGTATGGCTTAATTTGATTTTATTCGTAGTTTCGAGGAATTTTATATTTCTTTCATGTATCATCACTTAACACTCGATGGAATAACTTTTCTTATTCAGATCATCTCTTATGTCTGGTGACTAAACAATGGTGAAATAATATGCATAACACTGTCAGTAACTAATTCAGTGTTAGAACCCAAGTCAACGAATATGCAACTTATTTACGCCTGTTTGACTTGGAAATCGATTAGGCCACGAGAGAAACTCATTGCAATCACCAACTTTTTACTACTGAACATTTTTTTTTCAGAATAAAATGAACATTTAAGTTTATTAGTTGCAACTTAAAAAAACTATACTTCTGACAAATTTTGAAAGGTGTCACAGAATGATATAATCGTTATTCACTTTTAAATTTCTCACAGATGTTTATCGCATATGAAACTCTATCGCTATTACCGTCGACATATTAGATTTCTGTTAATTTAACAATAATTGTTATAAAAATGAAATACATGAGATAATATCCATAAAAATTGTTCTAATCTAGTTTTGTTGAAATTAATTTGTGAATGAATTGAAACACAAGTGTGAGCTTAAAAGATCCAACCATGCATGCGATTATTACTCGAAAGTTAATAACACACTTTTTTTTCTCATTCAGTTTGAGTCTGACAACATTCTTCTATTGTTCATTTATTTCATTGACTATCTGTGCAGATTTCCATTATTAGAAATAAGAAAACCTATCGAAATAATATTTTTCATCACTAGATGTAATTTCGAGTACTCGTTACAAGCAAATTTATGAACAAAAAAAGGTTTCTATTCTGAAATTTTATTTGCATCGTTCAAAACTTGTTACAAGGATTGATTTTCGAGTGATTCTATACTTTTATTCAATGGTACCACTGAAGTAATTTTTGTCTATTGTGAACATATAAATAAAAATATTGATTATTTCGATCTTTAACCATCATTAAACTATTGGATATCAAAGAATTCGTTGACAAGATAATTTCGAAGTGTTGGTTTGTTTTTTTTTTCGACTTCAACTCTATTGGAATAATAAAATATTCTGTTATTAAATAGACCAACTGAGTGAGATTTATCATTATAATAAGTTCAGTAATTTTTTTTTTGATACTTTTTTGGATTTAAATAATGTATCACGTAGTTTTGGCTTTAACGTGTATTTTAGTGTTCCTCGCTTTTCCTTCATTATATATATATATACATGTACTTACACACGATATGTTTATTCCAAAAAAAGCATGAAAGAAAACTATGAAAAATAAATTGTAGATTGGATTACTAATCGATATGGCATTCTAACAATGTATTTTCTATTCAACACAATAAAACTCATAACAGACAGGTTGGTTTTATGAATCATTCATAACAATCATATATTTATAGATTCTATTAAAGAACAAAAACTAATCAAAGTTATACGCAGTACACTGCAATTGAATTTCTTCCCGTTTGCATTTCTGACTTCAAGCTATAATAGTTTGCTTTTGTTCTCTATAACATATGTATAGCGAGAAAATACAGACATCACGACATTGCATGATATACTAATCATAAATAATACATTGAAATCAAACAACAAAAAATACATCAGAAGAAAAAGTTGCTAGCTTTTTTTTGCTATAATCTACAGTAAGAATAAATCAAACCTTTATCTTTTGATTGTTCTTTTAGATATTGGCGGACATAAATTTAATAGAAATTCTGCAAAAAGTATTCCAGCTCGAACTAGTCGTATATTTTGTTACGTCAAAGATCAAATTTCGAACAGAACAGAAAATTTGTTCTTAGTTCTGTATGTATCGTTTGTATTTTTTTTAGTCTATATCTATACTAGACAAATATCGTATGTATTACGTAAATATTACTATTAAGAAAGCTGTTCGAATTGATTATTCAGTAACATTAACAAATCCTCTGTTACTATTTCTACAACATTTTCTTTTTATTACCCAGATGAAATGCATATTCTGATCAAAAAAAAACTTTCATCTTTTTTTTTTTTGATAGAGTTTTTTGTTGTTTGACTTCTATTGATTATTTATGATTAAATTATTTATGATTAATATATCATGCAATGCAGTAATGTCTGCAGTTTGTTTCTATGTACTCATTATAGAAAAAAAAAGCAAACTCTAATAGTTTTATATGAAAAACACAAAAAGAAGGAAATTCAATTGCGATGCACTGTATTAGTAGATAGTTAAGAAAAAAAAAATATTATGTTATAATTTATTTCATAAAGAAACGCAAGTTTATCTGAAGTAAAATCTTCATGTGTATTTTATGTGAATTATACAAGCTTCTTAGTCATAAGCATGTATGTTTTTAATCTTCTGTTCTAAACAAAAAAAAGTCTTCAATAAAGTATCAGCAACTCGAAAATGAACTTATACAGAAAACAAAATTCAAAAGAAAAAACTCGAAGTATCAAAAGATTGATCGTTCGGCATTCCACGAATTTTATCCCTCTCATCATTCATTGTCGATAAACTAATCAAGAGCATCGAACTTTCAGATCATCACTTTTTCATAAGTCGATGGATTAGTGTTTAATAAATAAGTTTCAATTATATGAATCTATTAGATAGCACAGATCGATGCCTTGTTATTTCTATTGGCTAATTGTTTCGATATGGAGAACAACAAAACCTATCATTCTGCTTCAAAAAGAAACACATATGACGTCAATGCTATCGTTGATCAATAACGATCGATTGAACTAGATTATCAAAGAAAACCTATTCAACCAATTATTATAGTTCAAATAGAAAATCGACATTTATATTAATGTCTAAACATTCGATGATGTTTAATGACAATACACTGGAATCTATATAATTAATATCCTATTTTGTGATTAACATACTTATTAGAATTAAAATAAATATGAGTTTTTAATCACAAAATACGATATATGAATTATTTTTAGAAATAACCTTGCTTATTATATATGAGAATTTTGTTAAATCATTCAGATCCGTATTAATATATGCTTAGGTTTTTTTCCTCTCTTTTGATGAAATCAATCAGAAATAAAATTTTCTCACACAATCCTACTCATAGGAAAAAGAATAGATGACGAGGAAAAAAACCGAACGAATCAATCAACAGTAAGAATGCCAAGAGAAGAATGCAGAATAGAACAGTAAGCAATATAAATGTTTATCACTTTCAGAATAATCAAATTAAAAACATGGTGAGACATGAATACTTAAATAGTCACCTGAGAAGAATTCTCTATTTTACTTATCTAATTAACAAACTTTCGATATTATCTATTCTATTAACAATTACTCAAATTATCAACAATAGAATAATGTTAAGTAAAGACTAGAAAATTTGTAGATAATCGTTAACAAAAAGGCTATTATATAATTATTTCGATAAATTATTATAGAATGATAATCTATCTTTATAAGATCTGTAGATATACATCATTTTACAAAAATAAATAAAAAAAGAAAAAACATTTTATAAGACTTCATGCTCTATCTCAATATAATGTTACAGAAAATTTTTTTTTTATAAATAGCAATAAGATTTTTTTTTCCAGAGAAGAAAGAATATCATATCGATGAAACAACTATTTCTGTTACAAAGATTTTCTTTTTTTTTTTTTTTTTTTCTTAAAAAATTTCATGTTATCTTTTATTCTAAGCAATTAATTTCAATTGATTGTAGTTACAATGTACTATTAAAAAAAAATTTCATACTTTTTATCATAGCCTAGAATGTTCATTACTATATTGCACTCTAATTAATTTGATGTATACTTGAAAGAAACAAAAGTTTTCTAAGTCAGTCGCTTAATGAGACATTTTTTTTTTGTTTCTTTTTCTCTGATGGAATATTTCTATTACATTTTAACGTATATACATATACTTATATAAGAGATCATATTTGCTAAAGTAAGATATTATTTTCTTTATTAGATGGAGGAAATTGAACTTTTTTCACATAAATTGATGATATTTGTTGGTCTTATAATGTATATATTTGGTTCAATTGGAAATATTTTAAATATTTGTGTTTTTACAAAATGGTGTCGTCCGAATAAAAGATCAAAATATTCTGGTTGTTGTTATAAAAGTAATAGTTCATTATATTTACTTGCTTCTTCAATATCGAATTTAATTGTTATTATTTATCCATTATTAACTCGAATTTTACTTGATGGTTATCAATATCATATAAAAGAAAGTAATGGATTTCTTCTATGTAAATTACGTTATTATATATTACATACATTTGATTTAATATCATTAACATGTATTTGTTTAGCAACATTTGATCGATATTTAATATCATCAAGAGAAGTTCGTCTTAGAAGATTAATACCAACAACAAAACAAACAAAATCTATTATTTTATTTGTTTTTCTCTTATTCGGATTACATAGTATTCCATTAATTATATATAATGGTGTTTCAAAAGCAGGATATTGTATTATTCTATCAACTTATTATTTATATTATTATTTATATGCATTTCAAATATTTCTTCATGGTGTTATACCAATTATATTTTTGTCAACATTTGGCTTGTTAACTCTTAAACAATTAAGAATAATTAGTAAAAGAAAAAATCGTTATGGAATGATGAATAGTGATAAACAATTATCTCGTATGCTTTTATTATTATCGTTAGCGATAATCTTATCATCAATTCCATATTGTATTGAACAATGTTATTATGTTTTATTTAAAGAAAATGATCGTAAACAAACATCACTTTTATTTCTTTATCATGTAACAAGTTCAATATTATTTTATACAAATCCAGTATATAGTTTTTATATATATTATATTTCAACAAGAAATTTTCGTATACAAGTACATCAAATAATTTTTCCAAGAAAAAATCTTCATTATGTTGTTTTATATCAAATCAAACCAATAACAACTACAACATTTAGTTTACGAGAATCACTTACATAAACATATTCTTTATTTTCCTTTTTCTTTTTTTTTTTTTGTTAAATTTAAAATTTAAATATTTATGAAGACTTTCTGTATAAATTAAATATCATTATACCTAGATCTAAGGCAACTATTTCACCGGTACATTGATGAAGTTGATTTATAAATGCGACGAGAAGTTTCATAATAACAATCTGTTAGGCTTTTTTTTTGTATTAAGATTTGATACTTTATTATAACCGTTATTACCTGAGCCATGACAAAGAAACACTGATACTTTATTTTCAGTGACTTAACACATCGATGAACATAGAAAAAAATTGCTCATTTTTTATTAACAACAAAGAGCCTTGTATTTATATATATTTAATTTTGCACTCAAGTGGTAATGTATTTCCGTCAATTACTATACTAAAAGATTATATCGAAAAGAAAGACTATTGTTTTATATTCCATGGCTAAAACGGAATTGACTCTGTGACTTTTTTTTCATGCGCATATAATCTGAAGCCAAAGATTAACAAAGAAAATTTCTTATCCAACTCCTTTTATTATTTCATTCAGAATAACGTAGATAGAAAATAAGATAGATAGGAAATTAATGCTTAAAACTATCTACAATCAACAATATATAAATAGAACTACGTATTACATATTTCTATCACGTTCTTTAGATGAAAATAAATGAGTGTACATAGAAAACATACTTATTATCATATTTTTTCATATAAATATAATATGTGCAATAAGATAATTAAAATTTTCAGTGAGAAAAACAAAAATTAATCATGTTATTTGACCTAGACTATGGCAAAGAAAAAAAAAAAGGTATATCAATTATACATCTAACTAGAGAAAAAAAACAGTTCGACTTAATATTCTGTAAATAATTATTATAGTCTATATTAATATTCTTAAAAAAGTAATTATATATTCAACTAGCGTGTAGAATTTTCTACAAGCCTACACATATGTACGTTTTAAATTTCACTTGTTTGATAAAATAGAAATTCAAGTATAGTGAAAGCATTCTCTTATCATCAAATTCTCCGGATGTGCACTTTTTTTTTTTTCTTTTCCATTAATTTTAATATAGAAATGAGCTATTACAAAAACAATTATTTAGTCTGAAAGTACGTGAATTAGTCTATCATTCTGTACTTTTAATAATGTTAACTTTTAATTACTTGCTGAGAAATATTTCGAATATTGTTAATGTACTCACGTATGACATCTCGAGGTCGATTCTTTTTCATAATTCTGATAGTACTTCTCTACGTAGGTGTTCATTCAAGACAAAAACCTTTGAATAACATTAAGATCAGAATTGATAATTAAAGATTATCCATACATCTTATATAACTAATAGATAACTGTATGTGAGTTCCTGGAGAAGATATATTAGCAATATTTCTCATCATATGATCGAAAATCAATACTGGTTAAAGTAGAGAATTTCATATACTTACAAAATATATAATTATTTTTGTAATAGCTTAGTTTTATATTAGAATAAATTTGAAAAAAACAACAAAAAAAGTATATTTCTAAACGATCTGACGATTAGGTTGCTTTCATTATGCATGAATTTTCAATTTAGCGAACAAGCGTAATTCAATATGTACATATGTTAGACTGTAGAGAATTCCGTATGCTATCACAATATGTAATTATTGTTTTAAGAATATTAATTTATAATAATAACATGTTAAAAATATTGAGTCAAACTATTTGTTTTCAGAGTGGTATATTCATGAAAAAAAGTAGTTAGAAGTTCTTTATTTTTCGAATACCTAAAAATAAATATTAGTAAATATTTATTTTTTTTTTTGTAATAATACTTATTAAAATGAAAATCTAAAGAATAATAAATTATTTTGTTCAATAGACATTGCACTTTTTTTTTAATCAAATTAGAGATTTTATGGTCATAATGACTGTTGAACAATTACTATCTAGTCATGTTATTGTTGTAACACATGACTAAAGAGGAAATAATTATGATTATATTAAAATGATTATTAGATGAATAGGAAACATTCACTTAATTAAATAAAAATATTTACTCATTTATTTTTCATCATATATTTACACTAATATACAATAGAAAAAGTTCGATGTTTTTCTATATATTTACTGAATTTATTGATAAAACAAGAAAAGAAAGATTCCTTCCTTTTAATTGAACAAAATAATCTGTTTTTTTTCTTTTTCTTTACATATAATTTTCTCAATAGGGATGTCAATTTATCTGCATAAATAATGTAAATAATTTACAATTGTTCTTTGTTATCTGACTGAAAATTTGCTAATAGAATTAATGTGATGAATATTAATTTAAAAACTAACCTATTTATCAATTTTGAAAATCACATATAATGTTCGGAATTTATTATAAGCAGTTCATATTCATAAGGAGAATAAGTAAAAATTAGTTTTTTTTAAAGCAATTTGTTTACACAAAATAATTGAATTCAATTTTGGAATAGTACTCAACAAAAATAGAAATCAAATAAAACATGGGTGTCATGTAGTCGTCGAAATTGAAAGGACGAATCGATGATTCAAGAGACTGATCAGAAGATATTTGATAAAGTTGACCGAATTTAGGAAGGTGTTGAGCGTTAGTTTTTGAGAATACGCGAGCAAAAAAACATTGAAAAGCTAGAACTCTGCTAGAGAAAAACAAAAATTTTGTGAAACATGACCTAAAAGGAGTATTCAAGTGTATAGAATAGAAATTGACATTCCCTCCCACCTCCCTCCACCAACCATGGCAGACAGCACTATGAAAATGTCATGAATCGTGACAGAAATTTTACTAATGACATATCACAGATGTGGCAGATATAATCACAAAAATGTCACAGAGTCTGACAGAAGTTGTCGATATATGATCGAAGACTGTATATCAATAAAGTCTCGTCATATTCTTCATTGCATATCTGAAAAATTAAGTAAAAGAATATTGAAGTAATATGTTTCAAAATAAAACGATATTCCTGTGAGTATCAACAGTAGTTACATCATCTCTCACATTTTTATTTTGTAGAAATTGCGTCTGTTGCGTATTTTTTTTTTCTACTAAAAAAAGACGTAAATCAGATAAAGTAAACATAGACATGTAATAGACAGAGTCTTCTTATGATTGATTGTAAAGCGAACGAAGAAAACGCAAAAAGTAAGGTTGATCCAGCATCATCATCTTGTTTTGTTATACTATCTATTGAATAGAAAGAAAGTATATATTTATTATATTTGTATGTTTAGTTTATCTGATGGATTTTTATTTACACTAAAAATAGTCTAAAGAAGTCATTTTCGTTGATGAAACGTCGTGTAAAACAAAATTGAACAAATGAAACAGAACTGCTAAGAGTTTTGGTTGTATGCCTGTTGGCCGAAAAAGGTTTTATCGAAAGGCTCGGGAATACAATGGACCGTTACGAGCTCTTTAATTCCTGCATAGACTTGTTAATCATGACGAGATCAATTCATTTTACCCTCACCCTCACCTTTGCAGTGCCCTCCGTGGCCAGAAAATACTTTCGATATTGTGCTTTTCGGCGAAGAGCATACATACCGTTTACATAAACTTTTTTCGATTCTTTTGTTTTTGACAATAGTGCAACATATGAAGTATTTGATTATTCGAAAATAAATTTTCACATTTTTGTATAAATAAAACATTTAGTTTCTATGACAAAACTCTACTTGACCAATGAGATTTTTTATTTTAAAGTGTTGATCATTCTTTCACTAAAATGAAAATAGAAATTAAAGTGAGACTGGTTTGTTATGTTATTCCTATGATTTTGTTTGTATAGTAATGAACAAATTTGCATTGAGTACTTTTAAATTCAAGATTTGCAATAATATATAATTCAAATAGAAACAAAGTACTCAAAGATCGAATGACATAAACAAATTTTTGTATTTAGTACTTCTTTAGAAAATCAATACAATCGAAAGTAATTGATGAAACTTAAGATTCTATTTGGTATAATAGCGTAACCGGAAAATTGTTGATGAGAGGACAGTTATCTACAATTTTGAATGAAATTCATAGAGTCTACTATCAATGATTTACTTTCTTCTCATAACAGAGACGTACCTAGCTTAAATTATCTTCGGTTGCTCTTAGTAGTTAGACGCGTAATTTGCATTAAAAAACAACGTCAAATGAACTACTTTGATCGCGTGATTGCTATTAAAAACAATATTTCAATAAATTTACCTTATTATTGATCAAAAAAAGAAACAAAAGATGGCGCTATGACACAATAAATCTAATTAAAGTGTTTTGTAATATTTTGATTGGAACAAGTATATTTCATATATAATACTATTATTATTTTTTAAATGACGATTTATTTTCTTTTTTGTTTCAGGTTAGGTCTCCTTGATGTAGTAATGATTAGTATCCAATAAGGTATAAAACGAAAAAACAAAAAAAAAAATAATATCTTCATTATTGTTATGACAAAAAGAAGTGGAGGTGGGACTCAATCATCATCATCATCTTTAATCGGTAGAATAACTTCGAAAGAAACAATGTCACCAAATCAAAATCGTCGAATTGAATCAAAATTTTTCTCACATGATAGAATTCATACTATTATATTAACATCATTAATATGGATTATTATTATTTTATCATTTTTTCTTTTTACAAATCAATTTAATTCATCAGGACAATGTGCACAAGATAGTCTTATTAAAAGTAAGAAGAATATTTAATTTCAAACAAAAAAAAAGAAAAAACCAACATTTCTAGATGCACTTTGTGGTATTGGTCAAGTTTTAACTCGTTTTTGTACAGATTCTTATCAATCTGAACAAATTTTTATTCCAACTTTAAGTTTGTGTTTTGTTTTTTTTTTTTAATTGTTTAAAAATATTTTTTAAAAATAGAAAGTCAATCAAAGAGTACTATTGAAAATTTACCAAAAGAAAATATTCTAAAAATGAAATATAACGATGTTTATGAACAAGAAACATGTCAAAGAAATGGAGAA